TCTCTCTCTCTCTCTCTCTCTCTCTCTCTCTCTCTCTCTGTGTGTGTGTGTGTGTGTGTGTGCGTGTACTGGGGTTACAGGTATATGCCACCCTGCCTAGTTTTATGCAGTGCTGTGGATTGAACCCAGGGCTTTTTGCATGCCAGGAAAGGACTCTATTAACTAAGTTATGTCCCCAGCCCAGTCAAGTGGACACTTGTAAAGCAAGGACTGAATTCCCACTTTGGGGTGACTGTTACCATATGGGACCAGGAAAGGAACTGGGAGCTAGGAAAGGGAAGACCAAGCAGATAAAGGGAACTCAGGATTGCTAGGGACCAGAAGCTTAGGGAGAAGAGAGGGGAGACAGGGAGGTGACCATTCATTACTACTTAGCAGTTTTTGAATCGCCTAGATGTTTCCCAGGATAGTTGTTGAGACTGCATAGTTACCAATGGAGGTATTGTCTTGCTGAGGCTTAATTGACTTGCAGCAGATTACAAATCACCCAGCAATTCAGTCTTCTTTGAACATTTTCTCCCCCAACACATCTTCTTTGTGAGATAAGTTATTATTAATTTCTGTTTATAAAGGAAGGGGTGTGTAAGTCTGAATCAGTGAATGTGGGGTATGTTCTACTGTTGTTATTAGTCACTGCTTTCCTAGATTGTGGCTTTCCTTGTAATGTAATGGAGATGCTAAACTTGCTTTCATTTACTAGAGTGGAAGTATAGGATTGCTTTGAGCCATCCCTGCCGGTGCTGATTACCCTCTCTGGCATCTTGTCTGGGTTAACATTTGCCCTAGATTTTTGCAAAGAAGGCATTGCTGCTCGGGTGGGAATCATGGATGTACTTGGTGGGCTCCACTTTCAGCTGCATGTTCTGGTGAGCAGGATGCGACCCCAGTGTGGTGGCTGGAGTTCTCTCTTCAGCCCTTGGTTCCATCTGAGGTGCAGCTGGGAGGAACTGTCTCGGCCCTTGTCAGGGACAACATGGGGGCATTTGCTTTTAGACAGGAGGAGTGGGACAACGGACTTCTGGCCATGGTCGTCAGTGGCTGCTGCTGTTCTTGCTGTCCACTGGTGCTGGTGACTTGGTGCACTACCTAGTGACTGTGACCAATGTTTTGGGCTGTGATGTCAGCTGTTCCAAGTTCCAGGCTGTCAGTCAACGGGTCACCGCAAACCGTGGGAAAGTTAGGAATGCTTGGTGGTTCTTAGCACCTTTTATTGGAGTCCTTCTAATCAGCTTATCTTACCTGGCAGACATGGAAGGACTGGGAAATGAGGGGAATTGGGGTGCAAGATGTGAAATTCCCAAAGAATCAATAAAAGAATTAGGTTGTTTAAAAAAAAATTCTTGTAAAGTTTAAGGAATCGACTTGGACCCACTTCTCACAGGTCAAACAGACTCCAAATAAGTACTCCTGTTGACCAACAGTCTGTTTCCCCACCTCCTGCCCATTCCTGAGAGTGAGATCTCTCCACCTTCCTCTGGTCTCAGGACGGCACTCTTGAAATTGCCAGGACCTGAAAGTTTTGAATGTGCACCTAAGAAAAATTTCCCCTAAACTCCTTAACCACTTCCTTCCCTAGTCTATCTGTCCCAGTGGATTTCAAGTCAACTACAGACTGCTCCAGCAACTAGCCAGCTGCAGCTATTCCCTCAAAATCTGCATCCCAGCGGACAGCTTCAAAGTGGCCAGCCCCAGGTGGTCCAGGCTCACAAACTGCTCCATGGGTTTGCCTGCATGTCCCTAGCCCCAGAAGGTCCTGCAGAGCCCGGATGTGGCCAGCATGCCAGCTTCCTTGGGCACCTCAACAGTGATGCTCCAATGTCAAGAGGAAGTAGTCCTAGAAGATTGCACACCACCCTCATCATTTGTTTATTATCAACCAGAAGGTTGGGATGTCAGGTTTCAAACCTGGGACCAACAGCCTATTTAACATATCAAGGTGGCCTTGGCCTCCAGGTTCTCCCAGCATCCCTCAGTCCCCACCCCTCCATCTGTCCGTCCGTCCGTCTCAGGGCCTTCTGGTTGGCATGCCCCTCCTGCTCCCCTGAACTTCCCCAGCCCAGGGGCTGGGCTGCTCTGCCCTATATAATCCAGCCATTGTGGTTACCTGCTGCCCTCTTTGTATCCTTGGGCCTCCTGGCCCCTGCACCTGGTTCCTTCTCCCCCTCCCCCCCTCCACAAGGCTCAGGGTCATGACCACTCTGGACTCCCCGGATGTCCCTGGCTCTGGTCTCCGTTTTATCTAGAGTAAACTTTCTCCTCCACCATACCCAGGAGCAGTCACGCCCTTCCTTTTTTTTAATTTCTTTTTTCACTCAATCTCCTCTTCTCACACTGCTAAATTCTACTGCTTTAAGGTGACTTTTGACTTTTGTCCTCTTCAGGGGACAAAAAGAAGGCAGGGCCTGCACTGCATTAAATTGTGGAGGGGGACATCTTTCTGAAATCTTTGTCACAAATTCAGGTTTCATAGTGGAGGAGGCCTTTCCTCCTGGAGGTCACCCCTGCCCCCTACACTCACACACACACACACACACACACACACACACACACACACACACACACACACAGAACCACCCAGGTGGGAACTAGGTCAGTGGTTTTATTTACCCAAGGCAGAGCACAGAGGTTAGAGATGTCCCTGGGTGGAGGAATGTTCTCACATCGTCAAGAGGCCTGCCTGCTTTCCCTGCCCCTCTCACCACACAGGCCACCGGGGACTTTCTATGTCAGGGAGGCCAGGGCACTGACCTGTGTTGTGCACACTGTTTGTGCTGTTGCCCTGGACGTTGGGATGACAACTGAGCCACTGTCTTTCGCAACTAGCTTACCTGCTGAGTAACGGGTTGGCTCGGGCCCTTGTTGGCCTCCTTCCTGGGCCTCCTGCCTCCTGGAGCCACAGGCAACGTTTTCCTTCTGAAAAGAAGCGGCGGGCTCCAGTCAGGGACATGGAGTCTCTGTCCTTCTAACCCTGTGTCGGGGCCACAGAAGCCCATCCATCCCACTGTCTGGGGAGGAAGATGGCAAGCTGAGTACTTCAAGCACTTAGCTCGGTGCCTGGCACATACAGACTGTGCACAGCTCCTGTTAATGGAGCTGTGTCCGTCTTCGTATGCACCAGTCCGCTGAACCCAGAGTGGAGGGCACAGAAAGATGTGTGGCTTCCCCCTGAGGATTCCGGTCCATCCGGGCCTTGTCACCCAGTTCAGGGACTAAGGAGAGCTTTTTACGCTCCTGCTTGGGCTGGGAGAACAGAGACTGAGTAGCCAGCACAGGCAGCACCCCTCCTCTTCCCAGCTCCTGGCTTCCCCTGAGCTCTAGCCACATCCCAGCGAAGAGCAAGTCACAGATGGGGAAGTGTCGTTTCACAACCGCGTCCAGCTCCCCGCAGCTGCATGCATGCCGCAGGAGCTAGCCAGGCCCTGGAGAACCAAGATGACGACAAGCAGCTTCGACTTCCTTCTGGTGGCAAGAGGGCAGGACCTTGGGGGTGAAAGCATCCTTTTACCCCTGAGGCATATGGGGAGGTCTCTTTAGATGAGAGAGCCCCCCCTCTGCCTCCACACTGTACCCCCTATTCTGCAAGCAAGGGCACTATTCTCAGTTTTCATGGTACAGAAGTCTCCTGGATTTGTGGACCTGTGTGTGAGACGACGTGGCCTGCTTTCCTGGTGAGGTCACTGTTTCTTGAGCTATTGTCTTTCTTTCCTCGGCCTGAGTGAAGAGCAGGAATGTGGTACAGGAATGCCTGTCACAAAGCCACAACCCCTGCCTGCTTATACTCAATTGGACAAGCTTGCCACCAGACCTGGTCCCTCAGTAGTACTTCCATCCTGAGGGTCCTGGACTCTGCCTTGAAGCCTCGTGGGGCTGAATGAGCAGGGCTTGGCCTCCTTCCTCTGGGTTGGAGCACACAGGCAGGGCCTGTGGTCTCCTGAGCCAATGCACTTTGTAGGTTTCAGCTGAGGCTAATTTTGCTGGCAGGGAATTCAGGCAAGAGGCCAAGGGCAGCAGTTGGCAGCACGTAGAATCTTTTGAATTCAAAAGAGTAGTCACCACCCACGCCTTGCTTGTGAGCCAGGGGTCACTGGCCTGTACTGACCTGGTGCAGTGTGTCGCCACCTGGGGCTGCAGGATCAGCCCAGATGCTACAGGTGGGAAGTGGGGAGCCTTGGGTTCAGCCAGCCTGGAGTCCCTCCCCTGCTCCCCATCTTCTGAGAACCCCGGGCCCTGGGCTCAGGAAATGATTCTATTTCAGTCCCTGCCTAGCGTTCAGTCCTCACGCCTGCCTTGCTGCCTGAGTCACCTCTCCCCACCCAGCTCTGCTTCTTCTGAATGGGGCGGATTATCACAACACCATATGTTAATGCCATTCACAATTCCCCAAGCCCGGTTAGGCCTGGGCTTTGTTGAGTTTTCATCAGCCTGTGAGGTAGATCGGGTAGGTAATTTAATTCACATGCATAGATGAGGCCAAAGAGAGGCCCAAGGAAAGGAGAGCATCAGGAAAACTGTTCAGTTCCATAAAAGTGAGGTGGGGTCTCAGCATGAGGCTTCTTGCCCCAAGTCAGGCGCTTGTCTGAAGTTTCTACCCTGTTGGGGTCCATAGCTATTGGGCTGAATGGTGGGACCCTGCCAACAGTTTCCTGTCTTCTTTGTAGAGGACATTTGCTTCTGAAGAGTGTCACACTCTTTGTAAATGCAAAGACTCTAAAATATTACTTTCTAGTCCCAAAGACAGTCTCAGCTCCACCCTGCAATCAATCACCTTCTGTAAGGTCTACATGGCCTGCAGCAGTGGAAAGGGGAAGCCCTTCATACCCTGGTCCACTTCACACTTGTGTGGTCTAGACTTCAGCCTGTAAGACAGGCACATTCCAATGCATTGCTCCAGGAGGACAGTCAGGCAGAGCCTGCAAAGTGACGGATAAGGATGAATACTGCTCATAACACTAAGTGGGTTCTGAGCCTCCAATCCCGCCGACATACGGGGCATTGGCCATGACTACCGTCCATAGAAAAGTTGGTGAGAACCCCAAGGGAGGGGCCCAGTAGCCAGAGACAAAATGGGACGAAGGCTCGGGTTAGCCCTAGGCATTTTCAAGTAGTGTGGAAGTTCTCCAATATTCTCACTTGAGCAGCCATTCCAATACAAATCAGCCACACACTGGCACACATGATTTTGTGTAATCATTTCTGGGACATGGAGGAAGGCAGGACATTTTCTTTTCAACCAATGAAGAAAGTGAACTCAGAAGTCTTCATGAGGTTCCACAGTGACCCAAGTTCTCATTGTCAGGGTTTCTGCCAGTTGGAAGTGCAGAGCATGGGGTACTCAAGACCAGAGGCTTTGGGTGGAGGAGATGAGAATCCTGGGTGGCCAGGGGGCACTGGGGTCTTAGGCCCTTCTAGAGGTCAAGATGTAGTGTGTGAGGAAAGCAAGGAAGGGAACAGAGAGGGTGTGTGTGTTTATGTGTGTGTGTGTGTGTGTGTGTGTGTTTATGTGTGTATATGTGTGTGTGTCTTTATGTGTGTATATGTGTGTGTGTGTTTATGTGTGTATGTGTGTGTGATGTGTGGTGTATGTGTGTGTGTCTTTATGTGTGTATATGTGTGTGTGTGTGTCTTTATGTGTGTATATGTGTGTGTGTGTGTTTATGTGTGTATGTGTGTGTGATGTGTGGTGTATGTGTGTGTGTCTTTATGTGTGTATATGTGTGTGTGTTTATGGGAAGTTGGTGAGCAGAGGGGACAACAGAGACACTGATAACCAGCTTGCCCTCACTGATTAGGTTGGTCTGAACTAGTCCTGGGTGGTACCAAGAACAATTTGCATTAGTTTATGCTGCCTCTTGTCTTTATCTACAGGCTGGCATCCGGGGAACAAGCTTGTTCTTGGAGCATTTATCTGCAGAATCTAGCATATTACAAATAGCTGTGTCTTGTTTAGTGAGAGCTGCCGCTGAACTCCTGATGCTCCCCCAGCCCTCGGCCCAGCCCCTCCATTTCCTGACTGGAGAGCATGCTTAGCACAGTGGAGTGTGACCTGAGCAAAATAGCATGACATTTAGATGGGCCCTTGCCAGGAACTCAGGTGTTGAATAGGACACTCAATTTATTTCTCTGTAGTTAGATCCCAGATATGGGTCAGAATTCCCTCAGCCCTCCAGGGAAACCTGCCTATCTGGGGTCAGGCAGGATTCAGACCACCTGCCCTACTGGAAAATGTAGGCTTCTTCAGGTTGACACAACGCCTCAGGCACCTGGGGACAAGGGAATTCGCCCTTATGGCAAATGTGCTCCAGGGGCTGGCCCAGAGCTCAACACCGTGATCCCTGCCATAATCCCAGCCGTCTGGGAGCCCAGTGGAAAGAGGACTGCAAGTTTGGGGTCAGTCTATACAACTTAGTGAGAACTCGATTCAAATAAGCTTTAAAAATGAGACAGGGGAGGGCTGGGTCTGTGGCCCAGCAATAGAGTCCCCGCCTAGTGCTGGAGGACCCTGGATTAAATCCTAATACTGAAGAAAACCAGAGGGGTGAGGTATGGCATGTGGTATCCCAGAAAGAGCACTTGCCTTGGGCCTAGAAGTCTGAGGGACGTGGGGAGAGACTTGGACACGGTTATAAGAGCCTCTTGCTTGGATCTTCTGCAGACCCCAACAAGGACCAGGAGTGCAGCCGGGATAGGCTTAGCCACCCCGTCCACGACTGAGCTGGGGTCCAGTTCCCTCTGCTGCTGTTTCTCTGCTTTCCTGCTCCTTCCCAATGAAGGGTATTGGTAGATATGAACCTTGTCCCGGGTCCCAGTGACAAATCAAATGGCCAGGTGTATGGCTGGTCTTCAGAGCAGTCTTCTTGTCCTTTGAGAGAGACAGGGATACACTTGTGGGGGACTTCCTGAACTTCTTGGTGGAGGATGGCATTCTGGTGAACAATTTGAGATGGAATGCAAATTCTAACCCTCCAGAGGCTCATCTTTGCCTGTGTTCTTCCTCCTCATTTATCCCTCTGGCTCTGCCAACTTTGTGTCAGAGACACAAGATTCCTTTTCAAAATCAGGCTTGGCTGCCTTGCTTTTCCTACCCACTGCCCATCTGCCAGCTCCAGGCAACCTTAGTGCTGGCTGGGGTGGGGTATCTCCAGAGTAAGAACTGAAATATGGGACTGGCCACTGTCCCAACAGAGGCAATTTTATTACCCTACATGTCCTGGAAATCCTCTGGTTCAGGCAGACACCGGTCTTGGTTATTGCCAGACGGCAGTCTGCAGTCAGCCTTGGCACCCTTCTGTGAGTGGCTATGCTGTGAGTCATGGGTAGTCTCTGGCAAGGAGCACGAGGTGGGTACAGAGGAGGAAGTCTGCATCTTTCCACGCCAAGGGAGAAGCCAGCAGGCTGGGGACTGTCACTGGGACCCTGGAATTTGTGGTGGGTACTGAAAGGTCACAGCCATGGAGGAAGATAAGCCCTAGGAAAACAGGTCATGTAGCCAGTGCCTCCAGCTGAGGCCTGGTGCTGACTGGTGGGGAGGACCTGTAATATCAGACCCAGACTTTGCCTCGGGATGGAAAGAACACGCTGGCTTCACATTTCCCTCTTATTTCAGGGAACGGTGAGGCCCAAATGCATACTTCTTTCCCTGTGCAAATCTTCCCTCATTGAATAAGGGAGCCTCAGATACGTTCTTAGAGTGGTTTATTAATGTCACAAACAAGGCAGACTTTATTTTGATTTGAATTGGCCATTTGAATTGAAATGCTCTACACGAGGCAAACACTTCACCATGAAATAGTTAAAGATAAATAAGAGTCCCAGTCTGTACATAAATCTGCAGGTGCCACACACACACATTTAAGAGATCCATTGTAAGCTAAATTAATCCAGTCATCGGAGACCATGACCTGTTTCTTCCCTAGCTTTGTTCTGGACTCCAACTTAACATTGTGTACAACATTGGACCGGCCACAGGGACTGGCCCCTTGGTGACAAAGCACTTGAAGCCTGGATTTCCAAACTGTGTTTGGATATGAGGGTCAGATGCTCAGAGTCCAAAGCAGAGCTGAAGGGCAGGAGTCAGCAGGGTGAGAGCCTGGGAGCCCAGGTTTTGACCTACCCCTGCCCTTTTACGGTTCACTTAGAGGGTCAGAAACAGGAGAGCAGAGGCCACAAAGCACCAGGCAGGAGGAAGTCCGAGACCCAAACTGTTCCAACTCTTCCTTGTGCCAAGATGGGGCGATTCTCAACACAATCGTAGGGTCAGTTTACCACAGAGTTTCTGCTTTCGTTAAGAGGACTGGATTAATTTAAACCTCTTAATTAGGAAATAAGACTTCGGG